AACCCCCCAGGGAGTGGCCCTAAACCAGCGGGCCTAAACCAGCAGGGGGCCATCCCCCAAGGGGTCCCAGACGGCGAGACGGCACAGGCCAGGCTGAGGGACCCGCCCCCCTTTGGCCCGAGTGCACAAATATTTGTGCACCGGGCCTCTACTCAGATTATAAAAAGGTTAGGATTAACTGAAAGACTGTGCTTAATCAGCCATAATTGTCAGCATACTATTTATCATTTTTATACTTGAATAATTAACTCATACAAACAAATACAGGCACTACTATAAAACCCTGGAGTCTCTCTATAGTACAACATGCAAATTTCTCATAGAGCAGGTTTGTATTGAACAAAAAGGGCTTATTACTGAAAGGCATAGATAGAGTCCTAAAGACATTAAGCTGTTTTCACTGACAGTGTTGTCTGGTGATACAAATAAAAAGGTTTACAGGGTCATGGTTTTCAAATTTTTTAAAATCAAACAACCTAGTAATAAAACCTAGTAATACTTCAAAAAGAAAATGACGAAAGCTTGATCAGTGCTAAAAATACAGTAAAATACAAGTGGCAAGAAACAAAATGTAAGTTAATAAATATCTATGTTGAAGGGGACCTTATAATCACAATAAATTTTAAAAATTATGGTTACAATATTATATAGAGAGATTTAGAAATAAATATACATTATAAGATAAAAATAAAAACAAAATGCTAAGGAGAGAAAAAAGTTAAATTCTCTATAAACTTAGTAAATGTAAAATAATCAAAGTATAATACCTCTTAAATAATATCATCTTTGAAAATTTAACACATTACTATATAAGAAACTTGCAAGAAAATGTTGCAAGAACCACAATTTGCAGCATGAGTCACGCACATACACATAAATAAAATATAAACAAAGCATTCCTTGAACACATAACCTAACTATGTCAACAGCATGAACAGTGTAAAATTTTTTCAAGTAATCAAAATGAAGGTATTGATTCTGCCTCTTTAAGACAAATTCCCAGGAACCATGTCCATTTAAAATGCCTCCTGGGCAATATTACTAGAAAGTTACCTTCTGCCTGGATGGGGAGTCAAAGAACTGTCTTTAAAAAAGAAAAAATTTAAAAACAAGTGCTTAGTCTTATATAATGGGAAGGACAGAAGTTAGGTCTGTAAGGAAAGATAAATTTTTTACATAACAAAAATGTTACCAAGTACTACACTGCCTTCTAGGTTTTGCCCATGAAGAACTAAGGGGCACCCTCATCTACCAAATAATCTGACTATATCCAGACAAGAGATCTACGGAATCCACCAAAAGTTGGTGATTTTCTAAAACAGATATATCATATAGAACAGGGGTCCTCAAACTATGGCCCGCGGGCCACATGCAAATACAAATATTGTATTTGTTCCCGTTTTGTTTTTTTACTTCAAAATAAGATATGTGCAGTGTGCATAGGAATTTGTTCATAGTTTTTTTAAAAAAACTATAGTCTGGCCCTCCAACGGTCTGAGGGACAGTGAACTGGCCCCCTGTTTAAAAAGTTTGAGGACCCCTGATATAGAATCTAGGCCTAGCGTAGCACAGATAAGGAATAGGAACATAAAATGCATGCAGAGGGAGGTCCAGGCTACCCGGCAGCGGCACTGTAGGTACACAGGACCT